GGAGTACCAAGCCTGGTCAGTTCTACTTATGACCCATCAGGGGTTCGTGGGCCCCATTCATCATCAGGGCTAAAATATTATTTCAGTGTGAATGCAGGTCGATTAGGTGGGATGAACCTTGTCAGGCTGTTAATCACATGACCTGAGCACCTGGCTAGGAGAACTGGCCCACCTAGAGAAATTAAGTGTACCCAGATGCCTAAAACAGCATGTGCTAAAGAAATCATCTCAGCACAGTTGCACACCTTCTGTGATGCATCGCAGGCTGCTTACGGAGCGTGTGACTTATCTGGAGAATGGTAGACTCTGGCGAAGTATCCAGTGCTCTGGTAGCACGGACGGGCCAAGCTGGCCCCACTCGCTAACTGACAATACCAAGGCTGAACTTTGTGCAGCTGTCCTGGCAGTGAACGCTGATCGAACGATTCGCCAAGAAATGACCATGACTATACACGAATCTTTATTTTGGACGGATAGCATGGTAGTCTTGCAGTACATCGCCAATTCGAGCAGACGATTTCAAACGTATGTAGCCAACAGGATAGCAGTCATACAAGAGCTGTCAAGAACTGACCAGGAGACATGTGGGCACATCGCTGAACTGCTGATGATGCAACTAGGGATTACCTGTCCTGGACTGCTGCAGGATCTCGGTGGGCACGAGGTCCTGACTTTCTATTCAGTGTTGAAGAACGGTGGCCAGGGGGAAGGAGGCCAGCAGGTTCTGAACGACTTACTGGAGGTGAAACAGAATACCAGGAGATCTGTAGTTGCTCTGGCAGTGAGCTGAGCAGTTAAGTGGTCCTCACCAAACTGTGGCTCAGGTACTCATCATGGTACCACTTGGTGAAAGGGTGGCATGGATTAAAAGGTTCATTTGGTGGCTTGGGTCAGTACAAGGACTGCAGACAATCGGGCGAGCAGACAATTATAAAATTGGTGCAGATAGAGGCTTATGAGAAAGAAATCGAAATCATGGAACCATTTGCTTATACTGGAACGGACTGTTTTGGTCCATTCATTATCAAGGTAGAGGAAACAGGTCAGCGCTGGATGTCTGTTTACACGTCTAACTATTAGGCTGTTCATCTAGAAGTTCTTGCCTCATTAGATGCAGATGCTCTTCTCAACGCTATAACAAGGTTCTCACGACGAGAAGTACACCAGAGCGTGATTGGGTCGGATAATGGGACAAACATGGTACGGGCAGCCAAATAGCTCAAACTGGCTGTGAAAAGTTGGGAGCAAGATGATAGACTCAGAAGTGCCTTACTGAAAGCAGATATTGACTGGGTTCAATAGAATCATGCCACAGAAGGTAAAAGCATGTCCAGTACCTTCCAGATCAATTTTGGAAGCTCTGGCTGACGGAGTACCTCCCTCAACTCAGAACTCGACAAGTGCATTTCAGACCATGGCGCAACTTTCGCCCTGGTGACCTAATCATTATAGCAGAAGCAAATAGTCCACGCAACAAATGGCACCTTGGTCGAGTGATGGAAGTCAAGGCTGGCGAGGATGGACTCGTACAACAGGCAATGGTTAAGACGACGACGTCCACAATGCTGCTACCTGTGACAAAATTATGCTTGTTGGAGCCTTCAAGAATCTGGATCCGCTGTGTTCAGATAAACCTCTAAATTAACTGTGCCTCAGTTGTGATTATGGGCACTGAAGGTGGTGGTTCATTTCTTATGCCTTTACTACCTAAATATCACGTGCCTCTGACAACAGAGCAGCTACTGTACTGTTAAGTTATATCATTATAAAAGCGAAAGTGGATTATTGGCAATACTCTCCCTGGAGACAGCGCACTGAATACTAAACTGAATGATCCGCCAAATTCCGCGGATGCGGATGTGATATCCATCTCTATCACCATATAAATAAATTACAATTGTCTCCCTCTTTTTTTCTTTTTTTATTGGGCACCCCCTACATCCTTGTGTATGGTGAAGCGTTTACAGCGCCCAACAGGGAAGCATGCTAAGTTCATGCTTGCCTTTATTATACTGTCAGACTGGGAGTCACTAATACTAAGGGTAAATATTTAACTCTAATCTTAATTTCTAAGGGTCGCTGCCACCAGACCCCCTCTGGACAGCATGTAGCTCGTTAGGTAGCGTGCAGAGTGGACTAGGCATTGGGTTAGGTTTTCCATTGACCAGATCGATAAGGGGAAAGAAGGATGAAACCATAACTTGTCTTAATTAATTTATTCCTTATAAAGCATACTGGTAAAAAACATACAATT